TTGACCCCTTTAAAGTGTCCATTCACCTTTTATGCATAAATATTAATATTCAATTTGTTTTTCTGTTTGTTAGGCTACTTAGTACCTTTTTTTTTCGGGTACTGCTATAACAGTAGAAACCGGGAGCTTAGAAAGTGTTTGATTATGCACCAGAGGGTAACGAATTTCCTGTGTAATTTTCAAGTTTCGGTACCACGAAATTTACATTTTTTATGGTAGCACCGCCGCGCTTTTATTACCTGACATAATGGTACTACTTGTGTAAATTATTTTTAAGTTTGTTTTAATGTTGTCAGATAAGGAAGTTATTTATATTGCTATAAAGGTTCAGAAAATCAATGTTTTACACTTCTCTAGCTCAATTTTTGACATTAGGAGTGCCGTGAATAGAGTTCAAATTTTATCTTTTGTTGACCAGGGAATGAGATTTTTACAATTTTTCAATTGAATTTTAGCTCTGCGATGGTTAGTTTGGGTTAAAAATCAATGTTTTACACTTTTCTAGCGTTAAATATGAACTTTTCGCACCTTTCTAGCTCATATTCAACTCTTGGATAGTAAAGTTATTTATCCAAAAGCTCTAAAAATTGAAAATTGAAGATTCTGACGAGTCTCAGGGTTCTAGAGACTCATTTTTCAAAACTTTACACCGTACTAAACTGAAGATTAAAATATTTAAAGGCTCTTAAACTACATTTCTTAAGATTTTAGAACAGAACCAACACAAATAAAGACGCTACTGGATTAAATGATTCTAGATTCAAAATCTCCTAAGTCTTTGAAGGTTTTACACAAAGCTGCTCAAGAATCTAGAAGCTTCATTTGAAGCCAACAAAAACTTCGAAAATCTATTAAAAAAATTGATTTAAGGCCCAAGGCCTTTGAATATTCTATCGGAAAAAAAGCTATAAATTCCAATGAATCTGTGGCTCTTGATTTGAGGCTTTTGAAGCTCTAAAGAACATTGAAAACTGAGGATTCTTAAAACTTCAAAAAGTGTCTTTGGGGCTTAAGATTTGAGATTTTTGAGACCCAACACTAAAGACAAAGACTTTGAAGGCTTTTGAAGCTTCATTTTTCAAGATTTAAGACTCAAATTTTGAAGACGTTGTAGACTAAAACCTTTCAAAATTTTTAACGGTTGTTCGTAACGTCTTTGACATCAAAGATTTTCAAAAAATCACATTTTTGACATTAACCCAAAATTTTGAAATTTTATTTTCCTAAATATTTAAAACCTGGAAAATCCTTAGAAAATGAGAAAATTAAGGGAAAAAAAGTTGGTTTTGGACATTTTTGACGTCACGACATGGTTATGTGAAATCGTCGATAACTTTGTTATTTCTCAACCGATCCGGTTGAAATTTAATTTATTCGAAAGAGGATTAAATGGACTACTGAACTTGTCAAAATCATCTCGCTATGATAGTTTCCGAGAGGCAGGCCTTCAAAGTTGAGGTTTGATGGAGATTTTTAAAAAAAAATTAAACTCGATTTTTTCGGAAACGATACATCGTAGCCAGTTGAAACTAAGACAGGTTTGTAGATCTCATCGAGATCTTCAACAGCTATAAGTTTGGTTTTGATAACTGTCGTAGTTTTCGAATTATCCATGTTTTTTTTAAAAAAAAACCTCGTCAATTTGAAGAATTTTATTTATTTTTCCAAATGTCGTTATTTCGCTGCTGATTCCTTAAGAATGATTTTTTTCAAGTTTTTTCGACTCGTCAACGAAACTGTCAAACGTCATTTTGACCACGTGAGCCGCCGAAAAAGCAATAAGGAGCTGTCAGAAAAATGTGACAGTTATTCCATTGAAATTACATATAATTTCCAATAGGTATGCTAAATTCCATCAAAATTATGCGGAATTCAAATGAAATTAAAGGATTATTGACGTGGAATTTTAAAGAAAAAATAATTAATTTTAGAAAAATTACATGGAATTCTATAGGAACTTTGTAAAATTCTATAGCAATTATGCGAAAAAGTAAAATTAAATGAAATTCCATAAAAAATATGTAATATTTTGTTGAAATTAAGCTGAATTGCTTGGAAAGAAAACGTTTAATTTTAAAAAAATGACATAGATTTCTTGGAAATTATGCAAAATTCTATATAAAAATTATGCGAAAATTCCGTGAAATTTAATGGAATTTTGAGACAATGGCGTAGAATTCTAACAAAATTATTGTTTCTATTAAATTACATAAAAACCCATAAAAATTAGGCAAAATTCCATAAAAATTATGCGAAATCCCGTAGAAAATATGAGGAATTCCATTGAAATTATGCTAAATACCATGGAAATGATGTCTAATTTTATACAAAGTATGCAGAATTTCATTGAAAATATGCCAAATCACATTAATATTATACGGAATTCTAGTGAAATTAAATGGAAAACAACATAAAATTACAAAAAAAGCGTTGAGTTTCAAAAAAATCAAAATCCCATAAAAATTATGTGGATTTAAGTTGTATGGAATTCCATAAAAATTATGCGAAATTTCATAGAAACTATGAAAAAGTACAAAGATTTTCTGCGGAATTCTATAGAGAATAATATGCTATATTCTATAAAAACTATGCAAACTTTCACTGAAATTATGCGGAATTACGTAGAAATTATGCGGAATTTCATAAAAATTGTGTGCAATTAAATAAAATTCCAGTGAAATTTAATAAAATATCAGGGATACGACGTAGAACTCTAAACAAAAATATGTGGAATTTCGGTAAAATTATGAAATTTCATTAATTTTTTTTCAGTTTCATGTAATTTCTCCAAAATTGCAAATTATTCTCGTGAAATTCCAAAAAAAATATGATATTATTTAAAATTCCTGTGAATTTCCGAGGAATTCCTGTGAAATTTTTTGCAATTACAGAAAATTTCTTTGAAATTACATGGATTTTTAGTAGAATTTTTATGGAATTACGAGAAATACTGGTCTACAATTTTTTTTTTTAGTTTACTAAGTAACTCAGTACATTTCAAAGATCTTGACACCGTCGTTACGGTTGCGCTAAATTTTACCTTATTGAAAATTCAGGCAAATTTTTATTAATCAATTAATAATAATTATTGAAATTTGAAATAATTAAGTAGTAAGCTACTACCAACCTACTCAAATATCAAAAATCATGTGATATTATTTGGGATTTTAGCGGAATTACGTGGAATTCCGATGAAATACCATTAATTTTCCTGGAATTCTAGAGAAATCCTGTAAAAATTACATGAAATTCTCGTGAAATTTGAAATAACTTTTGTGAAATTATTTGGAAATTCAGTGAAATTCTGATAAAATTATGTGGAATTTCGAAAAGATTCCAATGAAATTTCATCTATTATCCGAAAATTCCAGGTAATTCTTCCGGAATTCTAAGTTATTCTCGTAATTCCAAAAAATTCCCTTAAAAACATGCAACTTCAAAAAATTCTTGTAAAATTATTTAATACAGTGGAATTACGTGGAATTTCGGTAAAAAAATGTGATACTGCGAAAGAATCACGACGAAATTTTCCGAGTATTCGACAATGCCTCCGGAATTTTAAGTTATTCTCGTGAAATTCCAGAAAATTTCTATATATTTACGTGGAATTTCCGTTAAATTTCAAAAAAAACATCCTGTTGAATTACATGAAATTCTTGTAAAATTCCAAAAAAAAAAATCCTTAAGACTGGTAATTTCAGTGAAATTTTGAAGAATTTCTATGGTGTCACTTGGAATTCTTGTAAAAATGAAAGAAAAAATCACAAAAATTTCTGTAAATTACATAAAATTCTTGTGAAATTACTTAAATTTCTTATTGAATTTTCAAGAATTCTCGTGAAATTACATGGGATTCCCGTGGAATATCTCAAATTTTAAGGGAAATTCTGAAATAATATGAAATTTTCGTGAAATTCCGAAAAGTTCTTGTGAAATTACTTAATACTTTAGCAATATTTCTGTAGAGTAAGTCGGAATTTTAGTGGAATTTAAAAAAAAAAGTGGAATTTAAAAAAAAAAGTGAAATTCCAGGAAATGTTTTAAAAGTTACTTGGAATTTCTATGGAATTGAAAAAAAAACCTTCCTACGGAATAAGTAGAAATTCCATAAAATTTCCATGAAATAATGTATACTTGAAATTTCATTGAAATTCTGAAAAAATCCTGTAAAATTACTCGAAATTCCAAAAAATTCTTCTGAAATTTCTTAGGTAAATTTATTGAAATAAAATTACTTGAAATTCAAAATATTCTAACCTCAATTGCTCGGAAACCGTTGAGCAAATTGCATTGAAATTTCCAGCATTTGTAGCTCTTATCAGGCTCTAAATGGCCTGTAATTTACAATATTTGCAGATTTATAGCTTTTGAGCAAATTCAGTTTGAAGTTTTTGACAAAAATTGGATCAAAAGTCAATTTTAAGGGTCAATTGCTCAAAAACGATTTAAGCTATCAAACTCAATTTTGCACGGATTTATAGAGAATTTAATGCTCTTTCCAATAATAAATATTTTATTTCAATTTGCTCAAAGTCTAACAAAGATATGAGCAATTGTTAATGACCATTTCAAGATTTTGAACATTGTCCAGAGCCAAAAAAAAAAGATTTCCTTTTTAATTTTGTTTCTGGTAAAAATGGCAATAATTGTGAAGTAATGTCAGGGTTGTTTTTTACTAATTTTGACCCGCTCTATCGATTGGTAAAGTCAAAATTGAGCAAAACTGAAAATTGAAAAAATCGAGTTTTTCATAAGGGTACCTACCCCTCTTTGATTTTTAAATTCAAAATATTCTAACCTCAATTGCTCGGTAACCGATGAGCAAATTGCATTGAAATATAATTGACCTGGAAGATGTGATGTTCTTATTGATTTCTAAGACAATGTATCCGAACTTCATTGGAAAAGTCTTCAAAACCTCCTCTAAATCTCATAATAAACACCTTTTTTTCAAATACTTGATCCTCATAGATTAGATTTATTTCCAAAACTTTCTGTTTCAGAATGTTTGAAATCAGCTGACGGACGATGCCGTACACCAGCGTCATGGCCGTCGCTCTCCACCTGGCAAACTTGCTGCTGATCATATCGGCGGCGGCCGAGCACATCAGAGACTTGGAAGTCTCCGAAGGAGTACCAGTAGGCACCAAAATAGGATTCATAGGCGATGGTACCTCACCTGACAGCGGCCCGCCATATTTGATAGTACCAGTAGGTGCCGCAGTGGATTCAGATTTATCTATAGACCAGACCACAGGAGAAATTAAAACAAAAGTAGCATTGGATAGAGAAACAAGAGCAAGTTACTCACTTGTTGCCATTCCAATGAGTGGAGATAATGTAAAGGTTGTTGTAAAGGTTTTGGATGAAAATGATAATGCCCCTACATTTCCTAGTAGTTTGGTCAATATAGAGTTTCCAGAAAATACTCCTAGGGATGTTAAAAGAACCTTGCCTCCAGCCAGAGATTTGGATTTAGACATTTTCAACACACAACGTTATAATATTTTATCAGGCAACATAAATAACACTTTTAGGTTGTCTTCACATCGAGAACGCGATGGCGTATTGTATTTGGATTTACAAATAAACGGCTATTTGGATAGAGAAACTTGCGAATTTTACAGTTTAGTAATAGAGGCTTTAGACGGAGGCACTCCTCCTTTAAAAGGAGAAATGACTGTAAACATAACAATACAAGATGTAAACGACAACCCTCCAATATTCAATCAATCGAGATATTTTGCTTCAATACAAGAAAACTCAACTTTAGGCACAAGCGTCTTACAAGTCTTGGCTACAGATGACGACGCTGGCGACAATTCTCAAATAGAATACTCAATAAACCGAAGACAAAGCGACAAAGATGTTCTATTCCGTATCGACGCTTCAACAGGTATAATCCTTGTAAACAAGCCTTTAGACTTTGAAACCAAAGAAATGCACGAACTTGTAGTTGTAGCCAAAGACCATGGACTACAACCCCTAGAAGCAACCACCTTTGTTTCAATAAAAGTGATAGACGTTAATGACAATCAACCAACAATAAATGTGATATTTTTGAGCGAAGATGCTACTCCTAAAATCAGTGAAAGTGCGCAACCCGGTGAATTCGTGGCTAGGATTAGTGTAAACGACCCTGATTCAAAAACAGAATACTCTAATGTAAACGTTACATTAAACGGAGGCCAAGGACATTTCGGCCTCACAACAAGAGACAATATAATATATTTAGTTATAGTCTCATTGCCTTTGGACAGAGAACTACAACCCAACTACACTTTAAATGTTATTGCTACCGACACTGGCACCCCACCTTTGCACGCATCCAGAACCATCAACCTACTAATAACAGATGTCAACGACAATACACCAGAATTTGACCAACAAATCTATGAAGCAAATGTAATGGAAGTAAGCGATCCTGGAACATCAGTACTACAAGTCTTTGCTCAAGACAAAGACGAAGGCAACAATAGTTTGATAACGTATTCATTGGCGGAACCTGGAAATACAAACTGGTTCCAAATTGACAGTCGGAGCGGTTTGATAACGACGCGCGCGCACGTGGATTGCGAAACGGAACCGTTGCCGCGTCTTACAGTGGTGGCGACCGACAACGGGTTCCCGCCACTGTCGTCGACCGCAACAGTGCTAGTGACTATTCACGATGTTAATGATAATGAGCCGATTTTCGATCAGAGTTTTTATAATGTCAGCGTGGCGGAAAATGAAGCTGAAGGAAGGTGTATTTTAAAGGTAAGAATTTTAGTTTTATAGGCATAAAGATACAAATTCAATTTTGAAATAAGATCATTGAAATGGGTTATTTTGGTTATACCAGCAACTCCCTTACCAAAAGCTCTCAAAGCAGCTAGACCAGCAAATAATGGAACAAGAGGTTTTGGGAATAGGTTTTTTGGTTGCTTCATATTAAAATATTAAATAATTGATAATGAATTTGTGCGGTTTTTGAATAATTATTTCAGACATAACGACTGGGCATAACCGAAGAATGGCTCACTCTTCACAATTTGTACAGGGTGTCTCATTGAAGATGGGAATTGGGGTTATCGGCTTAACTAACAAATATCAAAGTTGTTTTTGAAAGTTTGACGTTCAATGAGCTTGTATATAGAACGAATGACGCCTGTCAAAAGTTCTCATTTTGTCAATTAGACGATTAACTTTTAAACTTTTACATACAAAAGAGGTTATCGCTTTTGCATTAGAGCAATTATCAATAGATATCAAAGTTGTTTTTGATGGTTTAACGTTCAACGAGCTTGTAAAACAATTGACACCTGTCAAAAGTTCTCATTTTGTTAACTGGACGTCGGACGATTGATTCTTAAACTTTGTGTCATTTACATAGAAAACAAGTCATCGCTCTTGCATTAGGTAATTTTCAACAAATGTCAAAGTTATTTATGATAGTTTGACGTTCAATGAGCTTGTAAAATAATTGACACTTGTCAATAGTTCTCATTTTGTCAATTGGACGATTGACTCTTTAACTTTCGTATCATTTATATAGAAAACAAGTCCTCGCTCTTGAATTAGGCAATTTTCAATAAACCAAATAATCAGATAAAATTAAGTCCGAGAGTTAAACTATAGTATACAAAATCCATTAGAGAAGGCTGGACCAAATCCGGAAAGTATTTTGAGATATTTCCGTCTCACGTTGCCTAACCCTAGAAAAAATTCAGAATGAACTTTTGGCTTTGACACGGTCTCATTAAATCGGCCATACGTCAAATATCCTTGAGCCGATTTTTTCGAATCTTATTTCATTCAAGAGGGGGTTGAATTGTCTACAAAAAAGTATTCGTTAAAAATTTTGATAGCTATCATGGTTTCCGAGTTATAGGCCGTCAAAGTAGAAATATCCCTAGATAGAAATTTTGGAGGGCCAATTTGACACGGCCTCATTAAATCGGCCACAAGTCAAACATCATTAATCCGATTTTCTCGATTCTTGTTTCACTCAATAGGGGGTTAAATTGTCTACAAAAAAGTATCCATTAACAATTTTGATAGCTATCATGGTTTCCGGGTTATAGGCGGTCAAAGTAGAAATATCCCCGAAGAAGCAATTTCAACAGGCCAATTTGACACGGCCTCATTACACCGACCACAAATCGAACATCCTTGAGCCGATTTTTTCGAATCTTGTTTCATTCAATAGGAGGTTGAATTGTCTATAAAAAAGTATTGAGTAACAATTTTGATAGCTATCATGGTTTCCGAGTTATAGGCGGTCAAAGTAGAAATTTTGGCGGGCCAATTTGACACAGTCTCATTAAATCGGCCACACGTCAAATATCCTTGAGCCGATTTTCTCGAATCTTATTTCATTCAATAGGGGATTAAATTATCTACAAAAAAGTATATATTAACAATTTTGATAGCTATTGTGGTTTCCGAGTTATAGGCCGTCAAAGTAGAAATATCCCTGAAGAAGAAATTTTGGCGGGCCAATTTGACACAGTCTCATTAAATCCGCCACAAGTCAAACATCCTTGGGCGGATTTTCTCAAATATTATTTCGTTCAATAGGAGATTAAATTGTCTACAAAAAAGTATCCATTAACAATTTTGACAGCTGTCATGGTTTCCGACTTATAGGCCGTCAAAGTAGAAATATCCCTGAAGAAGAAATTTTGGCGGGCCAATTTGACAGTCTCATTAAATCCGCCACAAATCAAACATTCTTGGGTCGATTTTTTCGAATCCTATTTCATTCAATAGGGGGTTGAATTGTCTACAAAAAAGTGTCCATTAACAATTTTGATAGCTATCATGGTTTCCAAGTTATAGACCGTCAAAGTAGAAATATTCCTGAAGAAAAAATTTTGGCGGGCCAATTTGACACAGTCTCATTAAATCAGCCACAAATCGAACATCTTTGGACCGATTTTTTCGAATCTTGTTTCATTCAACAAGGGATTAAATTGTCTACAAAAAAGTATCCATTACCAATTTTGATAGCTATCATGGTTTCCGAGTTATAAGCCGTCAAAGTAGAAATATCCCTAGATAGAAATTTTGCCAATTTGACACGGCCTCATTAAATCCGCCACAAGTCAAACATCCTTAGTCCGATTTTTTCGATTCTTGTTTCATTGAATAGGGGGTTGAATTGTCTACAAAAAAGTATTCATTAACAATTTTGATAGCTATCATGGTTTCCGAGTTATAGGCCGTCAAAGTAGAAATATCCCTGAAGAAGAAATTTTGGCGGGCCAATTTGACACAGTCTCATTAAATCGGCCACAAGTCAAACATCCTTGGGCGGATTTTCTCAAATATTATTTCGTTCAATAGGGGATTAAATTGTCCACAAAAAAATATTCAATAACAATTTTGATAGCTATCATGGTTTCCGACTTATAGGCCGTCAAAGTAGAAATATCCCCGAAGAAGAAATTTTGGCGAACCAATTTGACACAGTGTCATTAAATCGGCCACAAATCAAACATTCTTGGGCCCATTTTTTCGAATCTTGTTTCATTCAACAAGGGATTAAATTGTCTACAAAAAAGTATTCAGTACCAATTTTGATAGCTATCATGGTTTCCGAGTTATAAGCCGTCAAAGTAGAAATATCCCTAGATAGAAATTTTGGCGGGCCAATTTAACACAGTCTCATTAAATCGGCCACAAGTCAAACATCCTTAGTCCGATTTTCTGGAATCTTGTTTCATTCAACAAGGGATTAAATTGTCTACAAAAAAGTATCCATTACCAATTTTGATAGCTATCATGGTTTCCGAGTTATAAGCCGTCAAAGTAGAAATATCCCTAGATAGAAATTTTGGCGGGCCAATTTGACACAGTCTCATTAAATCGGCCACAAGTCAAACATCCTTAGTCCGATTTTCTCGATTCTTGTTTCATTCAATAGGGAGTTAAATTGTCTACAAAAAATTATCCATTAACAATTTTGATAGCTATCATGGTTTTTGAGTTATAGGACGTCAAAGTAGAAATATTCCTAGACAGAAATTTTGGCGGGCCAATTTGACACGGCCTCATTAAATCCGCCACAAGTCAAACATCCTTAGTCCGATTTTTTCGATTCTTGTTTCATTCAATAGGGGGTTAAATTGTCTACAAAAAAGTATCCATTAACAATTTTGATAGCTATCATGGTTTCCGAGTTATAGGCCGTCAAAGCAGAAATATCCCTGAAGAAGAAATTTTAGCGGGCCAATTTGACACAGTCTCATTAAATCAGCCACAAATCAAACATCCTTTGGCCGATTTTTTCGAATCTTGTTTCATTCAATAGAGGATTAAATTGTCCACAAAAAAATATTCACTAACAATTTTGATAGCTATCATGGTTTCCGAGTTATACGCCGTCAAAGTAGAAATATCCGTGAAGAAGAAATTTTGGCGGGTGGTACGCATTTTCCTATTGTGTTGTATTGTGTAAATCGACCATTTTTATTAATATAAGAGTCAAGTCAGTGTCATATTTAAACCAATCATAATATATATTATATATATATATATATTTATAAAAACATGTTGCATTCACTTTTGCTCAGCTTTGACATTGACAAAAACTGTCTAGCCTATGTTTTTTCAAAAGAGACTTTCTGTTGTTAAGCCTGATTCACACTAGGCAAATTTTAAGTATATATTTTTCCTGTATCAGTTTTATGTTTGGCCAAGTGTATTTATATTTATCCTATTTCAATCAGTTAGAATATGATTCAGTCTCTAGCCAAGTAATCAGGCAGTTTTGAAAGGTTGAATATACCATTTTTTAAAATTAATTCATGCGTTATCTTTATACAGTCCACTGCGTTTTCCTGCAAGACTGCCATGTCTTTGTCCAGAACGAGGTTCGCTGCAAGTTTTGATGGAGACCTCTGAACCAGTCTATAGGGTATTTGGAAGAAATAATTGTGGGAACAATTTTACGTAAAAAAATTCTTTTGAGAAATTGTTAGCAGAAATTCGGGGAAGGGCGATTATACTTTTGATATTGGATGGTAAATAAAACTGAACAAATGAAAATATACATTGATTTTGAACAAGCCATCATCACTATGTCACGTAACTTCAGGCCAAAACTGATCATGATGAAGATGATCTCCATTCATTTGAAGAGTATTTGAGGAACCAGAAAAGAAATCATTCCAGATTTCAACAGATATCCAAAAATAAAAGAAATTTGTACGAATGGGAAATAGAAACCACGATAGCCTATACATAACTCATGGATCATACAAATTATGGAAAAAAAGTAGAAAATCTGGAATTATTAAAGATTCAACCTTATCATGTAAGTGATGTACAAATTGTAAAAAAGCAAACTGGAGATTCGATATTTTGTTGATAAAAAAATAGAGCAGTCACAATTTTGATGAACAATGAAACAAGTTAAATGTAGAATGCAGATTCTATGCAAATGGCTTTGAGCCTCTGCTATATTATTTCTACGAAACTGAATTTATTTTCCACGGTGAAGACCCTTAAATCTCCTAATGGAACCCTTCTCAAGTCATCGGGTACCTGAAGAATACAAAAGGGAATTTCTGTAACCCTCTAACAGGTACCCGAATTAGATAAGGCAAAAGGAACTAGTTGACTCTATAGTCAAGAGACATTTCATCTACAGATACTTACATAAATTTTCAATAAAAAAAAATCTGCTTAAGTTTACATAATTTTAACTATTGCGCTTTTAAAACAAAAATTTCTACTTTTCTATATTGAAATAGCTAATGTTTGCAATGAGGAATCAGTAGAACATAGATCAGAACTGATTTGCAGGCACAGTTCAAATAAATTTCATTCAGAATCGGTTCTGAACTAGTTCTTCTAGTTTTTTTTCTTCGTTAGATTATTAACTAGTTACTGCGAACAACTTACATCAGTCAGATTTTAGCGTCGATGAGTGACAGACCTTTGAGGGCCTATAACTCTAAAAAGATGATAGCTATCAAAGTTGTTAATAAATAATTTTTTGTAGACATTGTAATCCTCTATTGAATGAAACAAGATTCGAGAAAATCGGCCCAAGGATGTTTGACTTGTGGCTAATTTAATGAGACTGTGTCAAATTGGCCCGCCAAAATTTCTTCTTCAGGGATATTTCTACTTTGACGGCCTATAACTCGGAAACCGCGAACCCGTCAAACAGACGGTAACCATGAATTTACTGTCAATCTAGAGGCACCAAGAACCTCATTATATCAGAATTCATATCTCTGGAGAACAGCATCGCTGTGGAATAAACTCCCTGCGACGGTTTTCCCTGCAGGTTACAACCTGAACCGTTTCAAGACCCACATACACCGACATTTCCGCGCACTTGCCGCTTCTCGAGCGTGATAGGACATTTCCTTGCGAGTGCGCATATCCGTAAAAAAAAAAAAAAAAAAAAAAAAAAAACCATGATAGCTATCAAAATTGTTAATAAATACTTTTGTGTGAAAAATTTAATCCCCTATTGAATTTCGAAAACATCGTTTGACTTGTAGCCGATTTAATGAGGCCGTGTCAAATTGGCCCGCCAAAATTTTTATCTAGGGATATTTATACTTTGACGGCCTATAACTCGGAAACCATGATAGCTATCAAAATTGTTAATGGATACTTTTTTGTAGACGATTTAACCCCCTTTTGAATGAAACAATATTTCGAAAAATTCGACTCAAGGATGTTTAACTTGTAGCCGATTTAATGAGACCGTGTCCAATTGGCCCGCCAAAATGTCTATCTAGGGATATTTCTACTTTGACGGCCTATAACTCGGAAATCATGATAGTTATCAAAATTGTTATTGGATACTTTTTTGTGGACAATTCAACCCTCTATTGAATGAAACAGGAATCGAGAAAATCGGACCAAGGATGTTTGACTTGTGGCCGATTTAATGAGGCCGTGTCAAATTGACCCGCCAAAATTTCTATCTAGGGATATTTCTATTTTTACGGCCTATAACTCGGAAACCATGATAGCTATCAAAATTGTTAATGGATACTTTTTTGTAGACAATTCAACCCCCTATTGAGTGAAACAAGAATCGAGAAAATCGGACTAAGGATGTTTGACTTGTAGCCGATTTAATGAGACCGTGCCCAATTGGCCCGCCAAAATGTCTATCTAGGGATATTTCTACTTTGACGGCCTATAACTCGGAAATCATGATAGTTATCAAAATTGGTATTGGATACTTTTTTGTAGACAGTTCAGCCCTCTATTGAATGAAACAGGAATCGAGAAAATCGGACTAAGGATGTTTAACTTGTGGCCGATTTAATGAGGCCGTGTCAAATTGGCCCGCCAAAATTTCTATCTAGGGATATTTCTACTTTGAGGGCCTATAACTCGGAAACCAAGATAGCTATCAAAATTGTTAATGGATACTCTTTTGTAGAAAATTTAACTCCCTATTGAATGACATAGGAATCGAGAAAATCGGCCCAAGAACCTCTGGTTTGTAGCCGATTTAATGAGGGCCTATCAAATTCGCTTGCCAAAATTTCTTCTTGAATTATTGCCGGGGTTATGCAGCGTGAACGAAAAAATCTCAAGATACTATTCGGATTTGGTCCAACCTTCTCTAATGGATTTTGTGTACTATAGTTGAACTCTCAGACTAAGTTTCTTCTGATTATTTCAAGGGGTAAACCACTATCCCAAAATTGGTGCAAACAATTCCTCAAAGGGGAATTCTTTACGCATAATTCCTCAAAATTACTGCAAATTTCTCCAAATTCCTTCAGATACCCCATCACAAATTCCACCAAATAGCCCACCACGAACTTCTCCAAATACCCCACAAATTCCTCTAAAAAAAGGGAAAACTTTGAAACTTTTTGCATGTAAAGAGGAAGGTGAGAAGATCATTTTCCCAAAATTTCAAATTTTTCCAGTGGAAAACAGCAACATGAAAAATCTTGGAAATCAACCTACAAAACCTGAATTAGTTGAAAATACAGTTTCACTCACTTCAAAGTTTTCCTGGAAAACTACTGAAGGGAAAATTTTGAAACTTTTTGCATGTAAAGAAGAAGATGAGAAGCTCATTTTCCCAAAATTTCAAATTTTTCCAGTAGTAAATTACAACATGAGGAATCTTGGAAATTAACCTACAATAACTGAATTAATTGAAAATACAGTTTTACACATTTCAAAGTTTTCCTGGAAAACTAGTGAAGGGAAAATTTTGAAACTTTTTGTATGTAAAGAAGAAGGTGAAAAGCTCATCTTCCCAAAATTTCAAATTTTTCCAGTAGAAAATTACAACATGAGGAATCTTGGAAATCAACCTACCAAAACTGAATTACTTAGTTGAAAATACAGTCTCACGCATTTCAAAGTTTTCCTGGAAAACTACTGAAGGGAAAATTTTGAAACTTTTTGCATGTAAAGAAGAAGGTGAGAAGCTCATTTTCCCAAAATTTCAAATTTTTCTAGTTGAAAATTACAACATTAGGAATCTTGGAAATCAACCTACAGTAACTGAATTAATTGAAAATACAGTCTTACACATTTCAAAGTTTTCCTGGAAAACTAGTGAAAGGAGAAATTTCAAACTTTTTGTATGTAAAGAGAAAGGTTAGAAGCTCATTCTGACTGGATTAATTGAAAATACAGTCTCATATATTTCAAAGTTTTCCTGGAAAACTAGAGAAGGGAAAATTTTGAAACTTTTTTCATGTAAAGAGAAGCTGATTTTTACAAAATTTCAAATTTGTTCAGTGGAAAATAACAGCATGAAAAATCTTGAAAAACAGCCTACAAAAACTGTATTCCTTATTCTTTTGAATTTTTTAAATTTGCACCTGTAAATCATGTAGTGTAATTCTGGGAGGATTTCTTTAATAAAAGTGAATATCCAGCGTCTAAGACAAAACTAGATACTATTTCTTATAATAAGAATGTGAACCTGAGTGATCTCACGACCCTACAATTTCCTTTAAATTCCTCACAAATATTTTCAAATTCCCCATAAATTCCTTCAAATTCCCTATAAATTTCCCAAATTCTCATAAATTCCGATGAGTTCCTTCAAATTCCCCACAAATTCCTCTAGATTTCCCATAAATTGCTCTAAATTCCCCACATTTTTGACAAAGAATTCCTAGGTGGTTTACCCCTTGGATTATTTTGATTTATTAAAAATTGCTTAGTTCAAGAGCGATGACTTGTTTTCTATGTGAAGAACACAAAAGTTTAAGAGTCAATCGTCCAATTGACGAAATGAGAACTTTTGACAAATGTCAATTGTTTTGCAAGCTCATTGAATGTCAAAACATCAGAAATAACTTTGACATCTGTTGAAAATTGCCCTAGTGCAAAAGCGATGACCTCTTTTCTATGTAAATGACAAAAAAGTTTAAGAGTCAATCGTCCAATTGATGAAATGGGAATTTTTGACAGGTGTCAATTGTTCTACAAGCTCATTGAATGTCAAATTATTAAAAACAACTTTGATATCTATTGAAAATTGCTTAATTCAAGAGCGATGATTTGTTTTCTATATAAATGACGTAAAAGTTTAAGAGTTAGAAATCTCATAAGAATGTGTGGGGTCTTTTCCCATAAATTCTTCTAAATTCCTCATAAATTCCTTAAAATACCCCTACAAATTCCTATGCAAATTCCTCTAAACTCCTCACAAATAAAAATTCCCTGAAAATCCTCAGAATTGCTTGTGATAAGAAATGTATTCTTTTATTTTTCTACTAGGTCATGAGCGCGCTTCGCGCGCTTTTTTTTAAAATCAAGTCCATCAAAATAATTATAAAATGGAAAATATTTATTAGGTGTTGTACAAAAAACAGCATAATTTTTGATTTAAATGTACATTATACATTAAATGTAACAGTGAGATAAGTTGTATAGATGTTATTCTAGTGAATAAATTTCAAATGCGATGGATGGAGTTGGTGACTAATTATTTTTGTATGGTATATCATAATGAATTTAAATCGATCACATTTCTTGAATGTACGGTGTGCGTATGTCTACTTATCTCATTTTGTTTTATGGAACTCGTAGGTGTAGGTATACATTTTTCGAAGTGGTTTATTTAAAACAGAATAATCATAACCATAATCAAGGTGTTATTATAAACCGAGTTAGTAACTATTTATGTGCTGTGGTATAATACGAGATATCGAGTCTTAATTTTTTTTTTTACACTTTCATGAAGTTCCTTTTTTTTATTAGGCCAGTTATTGAAGTCTACTCGATCAACAT